CTTGACGACCTAAAAAAAAAAAAAAAAAAAAAAATCTGTTACTCTCACATGGCCTACCTCAAATAGCTGTCTCTTATACACATCTAGATGTGTATAAGAGACAGGTGTGTGTGTGTGTGTGTGTGACATAATTGTGCACCTCTGTGGTGATGTGCAGGCCAAGTTGACAAGTGAGGGCCCTTTTCAGGGAGGAGGTTCTCTTGAAGGTTGTAATTAAGCGAGCTTTTTAGCTTGTGTTTTGTTTTGTTTTTTCTCTGCACTTTTGCTATCTTCGGCGTCTCTGCTGCGAAGGGGAGTACCTGGACACTCGGTCAACTCAACTTGTCTGCTGCCAAGGACTAGGACTGTCGCGCCTGCGTTTTTTTTTACAGTAGATTCAAAGTAGATGCGGTAGAGGTATTTTTAACTATTTTAGATATTTAGAGCCCTTTTCTTTTTCTGTTTTTGAGCGCCGAAGGGAGAATGAGAAACAGAAAGTTAAACGACTTCAAAAGTTCCGTAGTTTGTACAATATAAGAATAGCCTACCTTTATATAAAAAAATTGGAACAGCCACTGTCAGCCAGCCTACTCTTTCGACCGGCGACTTGAACAAACAGACTTGTGAAACAGTGAGAAAGACAGAAAAAGGACTTAGAGAGATTGTGGTAACCTTGTACAACATGAGGGACAGCCAGCCGGCCTACTCTTACTGCCAGTTACTCCCCTGTGAACTTCTAAGCACCGTCAGATAAAAGACAGACTCCTGATCTACCACTGGCGACAGTAAGCTGTACATTTACGCATCAGTCCTGGTGACAAAGAGCCATGCGATGTTTCTGCTGCTTCTTTGCCAGTCAGTCGGCAAAGGATCAATATTGCTGAAAGGAGTTTTAGAAGGTTTAATACAACTGTTACACCATCAGCGGGTGGCGTTTCTGCCGCTTCTTTGCCCATCAGTCGGGCAGAGGATGGCTGCTGCTGGAAGGAGTTTCAGAATGTTCAATACAATTATCCAATACAATTATCCAATACAATCATCGTAGAAGTACAGTATCAGTTGTAGAGGTAGAATTGTATACGTATACAGATATAAAGTATAGATATACAAACTAGATATGATTGGAAAAGAAAGGAACGGAGTTTCAAAACACGCAGAGATGCAGAACATTTCAGAGTTCGGTGACAACGTAGTCTTTCATCTGAGGGTTTTGGGCTCATATCTGTGGCCAAAATAGTCCCTCAGGCTGGTTTGCTGCAGCAGCTCAAGGAAGTTGGTGACAGTGTTGATCTTCATCGGGAGATTGATGATTGACAATGTTTCAGGTTCTGAAACAGACAACAACAAAGTCAAAGGCAGAAATTCTTCACATGCTAGCTTTTTTTGTTTTTTTCAGGTGCTTTGCTGCCTGCTCTCAAAGACATCACAAGGTGTGTGAGGATGTGTGTGTGTGTGTGTGTGTGTGTGTGTGTGTGTGTGTGTGTGTGTGTGTGTGTGTGTGTGTGTGTGTGTGTGTG